GCGGCTTGGATAACCTATCCCAAGGGAGTGAAGAATGGGTACGGCACGTGTTGACTAGCACTGCGGAGATGAAAAATCAAAAACAGTCGGGATTCTTTGGAATTTTGGAAGGGTGGCATGCAAACACATTTTTAGAGTTAAAGTTCTTGAAATTGTTTGCATCAACAGAGTCTGGATCGATTCTCGCGTCAACCTTCGTTTCAAATTCACTAGCGATGCGTAAACTCACTACCAAGTCTTCCCACGTTTGCAAAAAGCGCTAAAGCCGATCCGATTAACTCTACAGCAGATCTCTCAAAAACAAGCTTACCCATGGGTAGGCATACAAATTTAAAAAAGTAAATCTGGCGCTACGGGGTTTAGGAAGATTTCTTGAAACGTAACAAATGATTTTTTTAAAGGCTCTTGTAGACATGCTTTTGTGTTTTCTGAATGTAGCCGTGTAAGAGAAATATACAGTGGATAGTCACAAAAAATTTAGCTCTCATAAATTGTATTTAAAAGTCACATAAATATAAATATGACCATTAAAATAAACTATTGTCTTAAAAGCTCCTTTATTAGCAGTACGAGTGAGGAGCATCTAATCAATATTTGACAACAAAACTTTGTCTAAGAATTTTGCAAGAAATAGTTTGTAAGAAAATATGTAGTAAAAAGTCTAAAATGTAAAACAATTTAAATGAAAACTATTGAGATTGGAAAAGAAATTCAGATTCAGCACAAATGTAAGGAACTACTCACCTGGAGGGCTCTAGTCCTATCAGCAAAGAGCTGTTCCAACTTCTTCTTTGCTGAACTCAATGCCTCTTGCGGATATTCGGACTTCACTCGAATGTTCGATTTAACATTTTCAAAAGGCTGAAACAGCCATAAGTTAGGTAGAATAGAAACAAAAAAGAGCGGACTCTTGCCATTTCTGTACATGTTCTGTTTTATGAGAAAAGATTATATTTCTCATTCCCATAAAAATCAACGAATTTTTTTCTTTTGAGTGTTTCTCACGAATACGAAACTCTTCTGACCCCATAATGGCAACTGATGCTTTCATTGAGTCTTTTGTGAATTGTTTATTCCGAATAATCCTCGGCGAACAACGTTTTCAACTAAGTTTTGTTTCACATCAAAAAAGCTTACTGCTTTGTAGCTAACGCCTGTTTAGAATTTGTAGCCGCACGTTGTGTCGCTTCTATTGTAAAAGTGTAGCCGTAATTTCCCTTCAGTTTAGTGCAAATGCTTGAAAATCCTCTATTGATATTTTGAGAACAATGCTTCTGTATTTCAAATTGACGTCAATACGATTATTTGAATAATAAGGGTTATCATCTGAAAAATTGAACATATTGACTTTAAAAACTTCATGAATTTAATGAAGCAAATTTAAAAGATGTGGCTTTGATTTTGCAGCAAGCTACGTCTAAAGCCCATTTTATCTTCCAAAATGAGTAGAAGCTGAACCCCCACAACTTTCAAATTTGCGGCTCATTAACAGATTAGAGCTGATCCATGACAGATTTTAATGCTGATAAAGGCCCACTGAGGATAGCACTATTCTATATTCTTAAGTAGCTTTCTATATAAAATAATCTTATAGTTTGATATGCTGGCAAATTGTCTTAAACGAGTCAGTTGCAGAATTCCAAACTCATAAATCTTCTCCCAATTAGTTTGATCTTGATCTTTCCCCAGTATTTTCATC